AGTTGTTTGTACTCCCTCAGCTCATTCCTGAGCAGCCTTCACAGGAGGACTCCAGAGCTGTGAGCAGCAGGAGGGCAGGAGAGCCGGCTGCATTGCCGAGCTAGGCACACGTTGCCAAGGTCCTAGCCACTTGGTTCCATGACTGCCGCCATACATTCCTACACCAGGCAAGGGGTTCTATTCCAGCAGCACCAGCATTGCCCTGAAACGAATGCTAATAATATTCCCCAGGCACCCTCCACTAGCGAGTCTCTTTTCCTTCTCCAGTATCTTCTGGTTGCTTCTCCCTCTTTGAAAAGAATAATCAAGGAACAAGAATTAGAAACCACATATAGAAGAAAGAGGAAGAGCAAGAGAGAATGTTTTTAAAATAATACTTTTTGTTAAAGATGGCAATGTATTGTTTTCTGTGACATCTAGAGCTGAGGTTAGAAACCTTTGCAAAGTAATTTTCCAAAGTTCTAGGTCCTCTGTACCATTCTGTTTGGCTAGAGGTGTAGAGGTATAAAGATGGAGCTCAGCCATGGGAGAGGGTGGAGGCCATTGTGCTTCTGCAAACTCTCCATGTCAGTACAGGCAGGCGCCATGGATCTGACTGTTGCCAAAGACCGTTCTCCCAAGTGACTGGGGGAAAGAGACTGGGATTAGGAGGCAGGGAACCGGCAAGGAGGTCAGGGAGTTTGAGGGGACAACTTTCCAAGGGACACTGGAAGTAAGTCCATGTGCCATCTTTGTCATGCTTGCTATATAGGTCACAGACACCTGCTCTTGGATAGCTTCCAGTGTAGTCCCTGATGCATAAAGAGCTGTGAACACCTGGCTTACATCGGTTGGATAATTTTACATAACTCCCACACAGCCAGGTAAATCAACACCAAATTAGAGACCCAGCACCTAACATAAAAGATACAGAATCTAAAAGCAAGTAAGAATTAAAGTCCTTAAATTCAGTAGTGATATTTATGCTGATCCTATTTACTGATACTTAACACATTATAATAAATCAGTAGCAAATATGGAAAACTATGGTGGACAGTTTATAGGCCAGAAAGTATGTATTTTTCTGAGAACTCATCTGAAATTACAGACGTTTCAAGAATTTAACCTGTGATCTTCTGGGCCTGCCATCCATCCAGATGAAAATAAAAGTTTAGTCTGAGAGTGTCTGTTTGTCCACTTGATGCCAAATAGTTAAGTGATAAACAGAATGCTTACCAACTATTTTAATTTTACAATATTATATGTTTGGCTTTTCATTTTTATTTTTATTTTTTTAAAGAAGTTGTTTTTTTTTAAAGATTTTATTTATTTATTTAATTGACAGAGACAGACAGAGAGAGAGAGAGAGAGAGAACACCAGCAGGGGGAGTTGGAGAGGGAGAAGCAGGCTTCCCGCCGAGCAGGGAGCCCGATGTGGGGCTCGATCCCAGGACCCTGGGACCACGACCTGAGCAGAAGGCAGACGCTTAACCAACTGAGCCGCCCAGGTGCCCCATGTTTGGCTTTTTAAAAACCTCGCCTACCTTTTGTAGATTCCCTGTCTTCTATTCCTTGATTTTAGTCTCGCATTTATAGATGGAGAAAACATTAACTTTTGTGGTAATCTTCACTGACATCAAAATGATAGAGAAAAGATTCATTACAGCACAATTTTAAAAGAAATACATCTGATTTTACTGCAAAAATAAAATCTGCTAAGAATTGGCATAAATCCTTGCTCACAATCAGTGTTCCATAAATGATGTTGAAATAAATTGTAGAAGGAAAGTCCTGGAGTGCCACCACCAAAAAACAAACGCACAGACAAAAAAAACCCTCACCGTTTGTACTGTTTTCCTCTTCTTTGGGAGTAAAATACAAGTCAAGATAAGTTGTAAACACAAGGGCGCCTGGGGTGGCTCAGTCCGTTGAGCGTCCAGCTCTTGATTTTGGCTCGGGTCATGATCTCAGGGTGTAAGATCGAGCCCTGCGTCAGGCTCTGCTCTCAGCAGGGAGTCTGCTTGAGATTCTCTCTCCCTCTGCCCTTCCCCCCCCCCCCAATTTGCCTGCTCTCTCTCTCAAATAAATAAATAAATCTTAAAAAAAAAAAAAAAGATGTAAACACTGAATAAGGGCATATCCTTAAACTTCAAATTAAGGTATTTTAATTCCTAGTCACTCTTCAGATATGAGGTTCGGTCATAAAGTTACCTGGTAAGCTCAGTGTTGTATGCAAACTGCATACTTTGCTACCAGCAAAATAATTTAAGCCTGTGTGGTAACATGGTAAAATGGATCTAGGTAACTATGCCTCAGTTACATTCAGATTACAAATAATTGCTCTCCTAGCAAGTGGACAATGTGGGTTCTTTGAGAATTGTGGTAAAAAAAAAAAATAAGTTATTCTGCTAACATGTATTTTCAGCAGTATATCAAAGTAGTTTGCCAAAGCTTGGGGGAAAAAGGCAAAACAACACATGATGCTATTCCAAGTGGACGGCCAGCAATGCCACAAGTTAGGAAAACCACAAATGACTCAATAGCATTCTTCAAGGCAAATGCTTGACTCCATTAAGACGTTCTGTAGAAAAGCAGTTATAAGTTACAGTTTAAAATGATATTTCTAATATTTGGCTTGCTTGGAATGAAATCAGCTTCCTAAAAACACTTGTAAGCATCTTTGAGTAATTTCCATAAATAGAAATAACCTTGAGAATAAATCTCTGCATCCTAGAGAAAAGCCTCGTGTTCCTCACTCTCTGTCCCCTTTCCCCTCACTAAATCTCCCCATCTCAGCCGCAGGCAGTGATTTTTAGCCAAGGGAGATTTTGTCCCCCAGGAGACATTTGGCAACATTTGGGGCTGTCATGGGAAGCTGGGGCTGTAGGTAAGAGGAGAGGAGAAATGGTACCAGCTTCTGGTAGGTGAGGCCAGGGATGCTGCTAAACATCTTACAATACACAGGACAACCCCAGAATAAAGAATCCCCTGACCCAAAATATCAATAGTTCAGAGATTGAGAAACCCTGGCCTGGAGACACAAACGGGGCGGCTATGCGTGTGTATGTGCATGGTATTGGCACACAAACAGAACACATCCATCCTTGAACTCTAAGAGCCCTTTGAAACCCACATAAACTGTTGCCCTAACAGATCAGCAGTTCCAGTAAAGAAATTCTACTTTCAGACTAGATGTGAGGCAGGCTCAGAAAGGATTTTTTTATTCTTTGCTCCACCCCAACTCCTCAAGTAAAATTTCTAAAGGAAGCATTGTGATAAACAATTAGAGGGATTGTTGATTTTATTCTTAGGTTTTAGAATTGTGGCTGAGCCTTAGCCTGCGATTCTTGACTACTGTATGGGTCACCTCTGTGCGGTCTTTCCTTCTGTCATGAAAGGTTTTAACTGTATTTGAACAGTGACTAACAATGGGCATTCTTCATGTTATTCATTTCGGTTAGGTGTCGGTTTTTCCTCCTCGTCTTCCAAGCCCTTGTCCAAGACAGCAGGACATTTTCAGGTAGCGTATTTCCTTTCTCAAGAGTCATTCTGTGGGTAGTAATGAATTCTTTAGTATTCACAAGATTTCGAGGACTTCAGCATAATTTAATTTTCACATACCACCGATCACTTATGGCAAGTACCTTTTCTCTCTTGAACACCATACTGCACACTACTGTTTCCTCATCTGGTCCCCTGTCTCATTGGCCACAGGTCTGAAGTGACTGTGTTCTTCACCACAGTCTTCTTGAGGCAAGTCACCAACCACCCCCTTTTGTGAGCAGTGACCACCCATAGTAAACCCACTTGAGGAGGGTTTTGGCTCAACTAAAACTTCCACCAGCATCAGAGGCTTTCAGATACAACTGGTAGCTTCTAGAAGTGTCAGTCATGTTGGTAGAGATCTCACAAGAAATTTAAGCAAGTAAAGCACCATTTAGCAAAACTACCTACCAACACCCTTCAAACAAACAAACAGGCAAGAGAAACAATAGCAATAACCCATATAATTAATCTGTGCGAAATAACACAATGAACATACTCACAGTAACGATCATAAAATGCTGGGCTGGATGGGACTCTCGGTACTGCTTAGGGGAGCTGCATCCTCTGCTAGTGCCAGCTTCTTGCCTCTTTCTCCTCTTCTGTTTTATTTTGGTGATAAAGGAATAAAGGCTCAAGGAGGGGAAGTGACTTGGCCAAACTCATACTGGTTGCTGGGCTAAGTCAGATCTGGAAACACAACGCACACCTTCTTCCATATATGTAAAAGGCCGGAAGCACAAAAGACTGTGATGTTATATGCATGTGTTTCCAATTTTTTTCTACTACTTTCCTTCCCCCACTCTTATCTTTTCACCCAAATTTCCCATCTTCTTACACAGACTATTTTGGAAATTAGAAAACATATTTTTAATGCAAATATGCCTTTTTAAAAAAAGTTGTAGACACCCACAACATTTTTTATGCTTAGTGACTTGATGCCAACTATATATACTTATAGGTGGATGGGTATCTCCGAATCTATAAATGTCATTTGTATATTCATATACTTTCGTATACCAGATTTCCAAATCTAGTTGTTTTCCCTCACCTCCCAGAAAGACAGCATCCCTGACATTTTGGTAGCATAGCCATAGCTATACAGTTCTATCATGGGAGCTTGCATTATATACTTGTTCGTGACGAAGGTAAAAATAAATCTTGATAGTTTTTTTCCGGTGATACTTCCCATCTTTTGATAGGAAAGATGAAAAGAAAAGCAATCAATGCTCTTCTTTGGAAAGGAAGAAGAGTTAGATCTAAATAAAAATAAGCAGCATCTCAGGCTTGACAAACTTTTCTAGAGAATTCTTCCCCCCCGCAAAGAGCCCCTAGCATGGAGCATGGGTCTGCCAGCTAATAGATGTGTCCATGCAACACTTATTCTGTGCTTTCTCTAGTCACCACCTGAAACGTAACTAAAGCACTCCATCTAATTTACCTTAATGTTCATCCTCATCCTTCAGGCAGTATTTTGAGACCTTTTGTAGTTCATAAATGTTATGATTGGCTGTCCAGGGCGTTCTGTGACATGTGACTCCCTCAAACCTTGTTACGACCTGGGCACATTACCCATCTAATGTAAAAAAAAACAAATAAATAAAAGAAGCATTATTTCTTGTGAGTATACTTGGCAAGTTTTCTATTTAAACTGCATGTAAGCAGAGACAAAACAAAACAAAACAAAAAACCTAGACTCAAATGCAAAGAACAAATTGGTGATTGTCAGAGGGGAGGTAGGTGGGAGGATGGGCGAAACAGATGAAGGGGATTGACAGTACACTTACCTTGATGAGCACTGAGAAATGTGTAGAATTGTGGAATCGTTGTATCATACATCTGAAACTAATATAACACTGTTAACTATACTTAAATTAAAAAATTAAAATAAATACATCTCATAGCTAAAAATAAACAAACTGCATATAGGCAAACATTGGAGATATTGTGAGTTGGGTTCCTGATCACCTCAATAAAGCAACTATGGCAATAAAGCAAGTCAAATGAATTTTTTTATTTCCCAGTGTATATACAAGTTATATTTACACTGTACTGTAGCCTCTTAAGTGTGCAATAGCATTATGTCTTAAAAAACAGCATGTGTACTTTAATTAAAAAATACTTTATTGCATGGCACCCGGGTGGCTCAGTCAGGTAAGCATCTGACTCTTGATTTGGGCTCAGGTCATGATCTCGGGGACGTGGGATCCAGCCCCGCCTAGGCTCTGTGCTCTGTGGGGAGTCTGCTTCTCTCCCTCTCCTCTGCCCCGCCTCCACCCCCCGTTCATGATCACTCTCAAATAAATAAATAAATCTTTAAAAAATATACTTTATTGCTAGAAAATGCTAACCATCCCATCATCTGTGCTTTCAGGGAGTCACAATCTTTTTTGCTCTTGGAGGGTCTTGCCTCGAGGTTGGTGGCTGCTGACTGATTGAGGTGGTGGTTGCTGAAGGTTGGGATAACTGTGGAAATTTCTTAAAATAAGACCACAGTGAAGTTTGATGCACTGATTGACTCTTCCTCTTTTCATGAACGATTTCTTTGTAGCCTGTGATGCTGTTTGACAGCATCTTACCCGAGGTAGAACTTTCTTCCAAATTGGAGTTATTCCTCTCAAACCCTACTGCTGCTTTATCAACTAAGTTTATGGAGTATTCTAAATCTTTTGTCATTTCAACAGTCTTGATAGCATCTTCACCAGGAGTAGATTCCATCTCAAGAAACTACTTTCTTTGCTCATCCATAAGAAGCAACTCCTCATCCATTCAAGTTTGATCATGAGATTGCCAGCAATTCAGTCCCATCTTCAGGCTCTGCTTCTAATTCTAGTTCTCTTGGTATTTCCACATCTGCACCTACTCCCTCAACTCAGGTCTTGAGCCCCTCAAAGTCATCCATGAGGGTTGGAATCAACTTCTTCTAAACTCCTGTTAATATTGGTATTTTGACCTTTGCCCATGAATCATGAATTCTGCTTACTGACATCTAGAATGATGAACCCTTTCCAGAAAATTTTCAATTTACTTTGCCCAGATCCATCAGAGGAATCACTCACTATCTATGGTAGCTATAACCTTATGAAATGTATTTCTTAAATAATAAGACTTGAAATTCAAAATTACTCCTTGATCCATGGGCTGCAGAATGAGTGTTGTGTTAACAGGCATGAAAATAACATTAATCTCATGGTACATCTCCATGTAAGCTCTTGGGTGAGCAGGTACATTGTCAATGAGCAGGATTATTTGGAAAGGAATCTTCTTTTCTGAGCTGTGCTTAAAATATTCAGTAGATTATGTCATAAACAGATGTACCCTCATCCAGGCTCTGTTGTTCCATTTGTAGAGCACAGGCAGAGTAGATTTACCATAACTCTTAAGGGCCCTGGGATTTTCAGAATGGTCAATGAGCATTGGCTTCAACTTAAAGTCACCCAGCTGCATTAGTCCTTAACAAGAGAGTCAGCCTGTCCTTTGTCCTTTGAAGGCAGGCATTGACTTCTCTCTAGCTGTGCAAGTCCTAGATGGCATCTTCCTTTACTGTAAGGCTGTTTCATTTACATATAAAATCTATCGTTGGGGTGCCTGGGTGGCTCAGTCGTTAAGCGTCTGCCTTCGGCTCAGGTCATGGTCCCGGGGTCCTGGGATCGAGCCCCGCATTGGGCTCCCTGCTCAGCGGGAAGCCTGCTTCTCCCTCTGCCACTCCCCCTGCTTGTGTTCCCTCTCTCACTGTGTCTCTCTCTTCAAATAAATAAATAAAATCTTTAAAAAAATAAAAAAAATAAAATCTATTGCTTAGTGTAACCACCTTCATCAGTTCTCTTAGCTGGATCTTCTGGAGAACTTGCTGCAGCTTCTACATCAGCACTTGCTGCTTCACCTTGCACTTTTAGGTTATGGAGACGGCTTCTTTCCTCCAACCTCAGGAACCAACCTGAGCTAGCTTCAGACTTTTCTTCTGCAGCCTCTTCACCTCCCTCAGCCTTTCTAGAATTGAAGAGGGTGAGGGTCTTGCTCTGGATTAGACATTGGCTCAAGGGAATGTTGTGGCTGATCTTCTATCCAGAACGCTAAAACTTTCTCCAGAGGAGCAATCAGGCTGTTTCACTTTCTTATTCATGTGTTCACAGGAGTAGCACTTTTAATTTCCTTCCAGAACTTTTCCTTTGCATTCACAACTTGGCGAACTGGCGCAAGAGGCCTCGCTTTCAGCCTATCTCAACTTTTGGCATGACTTCCTCATTAAGATAAATCATTTCTAGCTTTTGATTTAAAGTGAGAAATGTGCAACTCTTCCTTTCAATTAAAGACTTAGAAACCATTATAGGGTTATTGATTGGCCTAATTTCAATATTGTTGTGCCTCAGGGAGTAGGGAGGCCTGAGGAGAGGGAGAGAGATGGTGGAACGGCTGGTCCGTGGAGCAGTCAGAATACACCCAAAATTCAGCAATTAAGTTCACTATTACATGGGCACGGTTGGCGGTGCTCCAAAAGAATTATAATAGTAACAGACGATCACTGATCACAGATCACCATGACATCTATTCGTTATATTTAATGGAAAAGTTTGAGATATTCCAAGAGTTGCCAAGATGTGACAAGGACACGAAGTGAACAAATGCTATTGGAAAAATGGTGCCAATAGGTTTGCTCAGTACAGAGTTGCCACAGACCTTCAGTTTGTGGAAAATGCAGTATCTGAGAAGTGCAGTAAAGTGAAAAACAAGGTATGCCGGTATATGGTACGATACCAATTTTTAAAAATTGTGTGTGTGCACGCATACAGGGAAAAAATCTATATAGGTATTTACCAAGGTGTTAACAATGATTTTCTTTCAGTGGTAAGACTTTCCTTTATACTTATCTGTATATTTTACAAAGCTTATTGAATTCTTTAATATTTAGAAAAGTGTTCACTAAAAACAAAATATTTATGTAAAGCCTTTTCGAATGACACTCCTGTCTCTGATTCACTGGATTTGTAGCTAGGCCTATTCATTTAATAACAATTTACAGGATACCTACAATGTGCAAGGACCTATACTAATAGCTGCTAGAGAAATAGTTTTACTCTTTTACAGAGATCAAAGCTGTCAGCTAACAGATATTCACAGGCTGCCTGCTATGTGTCCATAGCCACCTGCTAGGAGTTCTGGATACAGTGATGAACAGTGTCCCATCCCCAGGAGCTTATATACTATAAACATGTAAATAAATAATTAATAGCGGCTATGATGCATGTTATGAAGATGTTTTTGGGCAATGGCACACTCCACTGGGAGTGGAGGGCTTCAGCTGGAATGCTCAGGAAGGACCTCACCAAAGCGGTCACATTTGGGTTGAAGCCTGAATATTAGGAGACAGCTTTGTGAAGATACGGCCTCAAGCAGAAGGAACAGCAAGAAGGGAGGAACCAAGATGAGAACAAGTTTAGCATATTCAAGGAACAACAACAACAAGACAGTGGCAGAGTACAGACAAGGAAAAGAAGTGAGCAGAGGCCAGGAGGCAGTCTTCCAGCCCACAGTACTGAGTTTAGATTTGATTCTCATTGCAAGGAGAGGTTTGTGGTGAGTTCTAAGTAAAGAAGTGATATTGTCTAGTTGACATCTGATAGAGGTTCTGCTGATCTGTGTTAACAGTGCATTTGCAGGAGGCAAGGGGAGAGCCAGGGAGGCCAGTCAGGGTGCTTGCTGTTGAGGATGAGTCTAGAAGCTGCTGCATAGGGCTGATAGTGGGGGAGAGGTACTGAAAGCTTCAAAACAGAAATACTTCCTGATGGGGGACCAAAAAAAGGGAAGGGGGGGAGTTTCTGCTCTTCTATTACACAGCTACTCATCTCTTTCCACTCTGGTCTTATGGAGTGTGCCTGAGGTTGCTATCTCTCAGTATCCTTTCTCCGCTGTTTTTGTACTAGAACTCCTTGAGTTCTAGCTAGACACATGGCCATTAGGTTATAAACTACATTTCTCAGGTTCCCTTGCTACTAGGAGTGGCCTTGTGACTAAATCAGGCCGTTGGGAAATGAACTAATGTATGCACTGTCTAGATGATGTCCTTGAGGACACAGCCACCTGGTAAGACTTTCTATACACTCCCCTCCAGCTGAAACTCAGATGTGGATCAACCCAGCTTTGACCCCGGGGCATGAGAACATAACCCCAAGGCACGGTGGAGCAACAAGATGGAGAGACAGACTTCCTTAAATGACCTCATGGGACAGCCCTCTGGCTGGCCTCAGTGTTCCCCTTTAGTCTATAGCACGAGAAAAAGAAACTTTCTTTTTAGAACTATGCTGTATTTTAGAGTCTTTTTGGTTAGAACTGCTTATTCCATACCCTAGGTAATATGAGGAGCTTTGGAAAAGCCAAAAAGAAGCATTGACAGCAGAGAAACTAGGGCATAGTCTTTGGGGTTGATCGGGAATTTTTAAAAAGATAAGCTAGTGTCTTCTCCTCAGTGCCCTCCTGGCTGATAATAGGAAGAAAGCATAGCCAACGGAAAGAAAAATTATTTTGATACTGTAAATCTACTCCAAATCCCTAGGGCCATACCTGACCCTTGGGAGAGTTCTGACC